CAAATACAAATAAATATTAATACAAACAAATAGCTAGGACTTAATTGAACTAAAGTGCTGTTGCATGGCAAAATAAACAGGAGAGTAAACAGACAACCCACAGAGCGGGAGAAAATCTTCACAATCTATACATCTGACAAAGGACTAATATCTAAAATGACCCCAAACAAATCAGCAAGAAAGAAAAAACAATCCCATAAAAAATGGGCAAAGGACATGAATAAACAATTCTTAAAAGAAGATATGCAAATGGCCAATGAACATATAAAAACATGCTCAACATCACTAATGATCAGGGAAATGCAAATCAAAACCACAATGAGATACCACCTTACTCCCGCAAGAATAGTCACAATAAAAAAATAATAGATGTTAAGGTGGATGCGGTAAACAGGGAACACTTCTACACTGCTAGTGGGATTGTAAACTAGTACAACTACTATGGAAAACAGTGTGGCATTTCCATAAAGAACTAAAAGTAGAACTACCATTTGATCCAGCAATCCCACTACTGGGTAGGAAAAGAAAGAGGATACCTGCACAGACATGTTTATAGCAGAAGAAAAGAGGAAAAGAAAGAGATACCTGCACAGGCATGTTTATAGCAGCACAATTTGCAATTGCAAAAAATGTGGAACCAGCCCAAATGCCCATTAATCAATGAGTGGATAAGAAACTGTGAATGATGAAATACTACTCAGACATAAAAAGGAATAAACTAATAGCATTCGCAGCAACCTGGCTGGGATTGGAGACTATTATTCTAAGTGAAGTAACTCAGGAATGAAAAAACCAAACATCGTATGTTCTCACTCATAAGCAGGAGCTAAGCTATGAGGATGCAGAGGCATAAGAATGACACAGTGGACTTTGGGGACTCGGGGGAAAGGGTGGGAAGGGGCTGAGGGATTAAAGACTACAAATTGGGTTCAGTGTATACTGCTTAGATGATGGGTGCATCAAAATCTCACACATCATCACTAAAGAACTTACCTGTTCCCCAAAAAACCAATTTTAAAAAAGAAAAAATATAGAGTGGCAGATGTTCCCAACCTCTGTATGTGAGAGAATGTCTTTGTTAAATTCACGGCAGAAAGATATTCTTATAAATACAGTCATAATGCAGTCACAAGGTGGCATCTTCCTCCTATCTTCACTGCCTGCCACTGTGATTCACTGATACTGTGTTATAGTTTTGTTTTTAAAACAAAACAAAACAAAACATGACAACTAGCATGTGTGGAAACAGACATTTTTCCTGCCTCTGCTCCCATGACTGGACTTGATGCTTGGTATATCTCAGGTGGATCTTTGCCAGCACCACTCTCTGCTTTCTTCCTCGGTCCCTCTTCCATCCTTCCCCAAATGCACATTGCAACTTATCTGTTCACAGTATCTGCTTCAATGTAGAAAGATGGGTGCTGTGAAGTGAGGGTAGAGCTGGTGTCCTCAACTAAAGCAGAGGTCCCAATGGGTAGACAGGATTGAGGTTCCATTCCTGATTGAACAAAATGTGGGCCTCTGAATCACAGTTAGGTGGTGAGAAGAACATAATGCATGCCTCTTGCCCTAGCCCACCAACACATTTTTTTTTTCCCCCCAGAAGTCTTTATTTCATGAGATGAAGTCAGGATAGGTTTTTTTGCACTTCAGGTCCATGTTGTCATTTCTATACCTTTAAGTTGCTTTTTCTTTCTTTCTTTTTTTTTTTTTTTTTTTTTGTATTTTTAGTAGAGACAGGGTTTCACCATATTGGTCAGGCTGGTGTCCAACTCCTGACCTCAAATGATCCACCCTCCTCAGCCTCCCAAAGTGCTGGGATTATAGGTGTGAGCCACTGTGCCCAGCCTTTCTAATCTTAATTTTTAGTCTAACAAGTTTTTATCATCTTCTGCATCTATTACTGTGGTATAGGCCCAAGTTTCTCAACTTCACCACTATTGTCATTTGGGGCTAGATGATTCTTTGTTGTGGGGGCTGCTAGTGCATTGTAGGAGGTTTAGTTGCACCCCTTACCCCTATACACTAGATGCCAGTAGTACTGCCTCATCCGCCAAATGTCTCCAGACATTGCCTAAGATTCCTGGGAGTGAGACATGCAAATTCCTCCTGCTGGGAACCACTGCTTTAGACTAGAGAGTAGAAGGGACTACAGAGCACTGGGAAGCAGTGGCAAGAGTTGGAGCAGCAGTCTTAATAACACTCAGGCAGGACTTCTCTAATTGATGTGTCCCCACTCTCTTACCATGAGGATAAGTAACATAGGCCTGACTGTTCATCTTGTTGGAGGTACACAATGCCAGAGTGCTGTTCTTAGGCATTCACCCTCAGGGCATGTGTCAGAATTATCCAGAGAGCTTTGAATGTGCCTAGGCCTATGGCAGACCTCTCAAAATACTATTAACTTGAGTTTGTGGGGTAAAAGTCTTTCTCAGGTTATAAATCTGAAGAAGAGACTGAATGTGGCATCCAAAGAGAAGCCAAAGTGAGAGAAAAATTAAAGACCTATTTTTAATTTACTTTTCCAAGCCTTTTTGAGACCAGCTCTACCCTCTGCCCTTTCCCTAGTTTAGTTATACGAACAAAGAAACCCCTTTTTGTTTAAATGAGGAGACATTGGGTGCCACTTACTTGCAGCAAGAGTTCTAAAGCAATTGCATACCTCCTTGGTTTGTGCAGGGAACACAGGAGATGGCACACATTGCAGATGCCACGGTGCTTTGCACATAAAGGGCTTCATGATGTGTTTTAAATACCACAGAGTAGACGAAATTTGGAAAACCATTCTCTTTTTTTAAGAAAAAGTCCCAACTCAAATGAGGTCTTACTCATTTCCCAGGAAGAATGAGATCTTTCTCCTCCTTGCTCCTTCTTCTCTGCTTTTGCAATCATCCTACTGCTTTGTAATTGTTTGCAAATCTATGTTCTTTTCTAATGTTTTTCACCTTTAAATCCTCAGTATCTTACATGCTGGGACATAGTAGGTGGTCAATAAAGTATTGTTAGGAAAATAATTTGAAGAACATTCATGATTAAAGGTGGCAATAAGAGCAACCAGCCAGCATTTATTGAGTACCTCCTATGTTCCAAGCACTGTCCTAAGAATTTTACTTTTTTATGACTTAATCCTTACGACAGTCCTTAATATGTTACCGTTATTACTCCATTTTACAAATGAACAAACTGAGTCAAGGCTATACAACTAGTAAATGGCAGAGTCATGATTTCGCCCAGGAAAACTGATGCCAGAGCCCTAACGTATTAACCAATACATTGTGATGCTTGTCACTGAAAGTATTTTGGTAAGTACAGATGGAGTTAAATCTTTCACTATTAGAAACAGAGGAAACTGAGATCACTGAATTCCATCATGAAATAGATACTGATGCTGAGCCAAGGATTGGAAGTGACTCAGTTCAGGTGGTTTACATAACTGTAGGCTGATCTACACAGGATTCCTGACTCCTAGCTGGAATGTTTTAACCAAAGGTCCCACCCTCATGCAAAGTGCACCTTTCCTTTACCCGTGCGCTATCCCCTTTGGGGGTCCTGCTTTGGAAAAACTACCCCAGGTAGCAACTTGTTTCAAAGCAGATATATGCCAGGTATCATTCAAAGCCAGGTCGATCTTATCTGTTGAAATAGATCAACAGCACATGACAGGGGTTTGGGGACCCCCTACTCATGCTTCAGATTTCAGCACAAACTTTCCGTCCTCAGAGAAGGCTTCTCCGGCCTCTCCAAGGTCAAGTCTGTCTACCTAAACTCTCCTTTATTTAGCATGGTCAGTTGTCATTACATATATTTTGTATGTTACTATCTGGTTAATGGTCACCTGACTTGTTACCATTTAAGTTCCTTAAGGATAGAATCCGTGTCAATTTTTGTTCCTTATATTTACAGTGCCTCACATAGCTCCTGGCACACAATGGGCATTCAAAAAGTATTTGTTAAAATCAGGAAAGAATGAATAAATTCACGACTGAAGCACCATGACAAATCATTCCTATGGAATGCATAAGGTTAGATGCAACCCCTTTATGGTGTGATCTGAGGGCGCCCTCAAGGGTCTGCACGCTCACACACACCACTGATTAGAAATCCCCATCAGGAAAATTGTACAATCATCTATTTGGTGAGGGCTTTGGGACACTGAATGGGGGAAGAGAAACACAAAAGGTGAGCAAGCAGTTTTCAAAGGATGCTTTCAACTCCCTGGCCAGCCCGCGTCTATGTTTCCGTCTACAAAGTGTTTCCAATTACTGTGGCACTCTCGGTATCTGGATCCATCTCCAGTGAATTCCTCTGCAGCTCCTGCCAGACATATGGGATCAATCAGGGCTTCGGCGCTGGTGCGCTTGCTGCGGGAATGTTGACAGCCTGACAGACGCGGGGTTCTGGTGTCATGGAATCTCCGAGCCTTTGGCTTGATCCCGGGAGGAGAATGAGAGGGGGAGGAGGGAGATAGAGTCAGAGATACAGAAAGGAGACAGGAGCGGGGAGAGAGAGAGAGGGAGAGAAGGAGGGAAGCGGGAGATTTTTCTTGACTGCCCCCTTTCCTTCAAACATTTTATAGGCTTCAGGGAGAGAGGAGGAGGAGAGAGGGAAGAAAAAAAGAGGAGAGCGAGAGGGGTAGAGAGCGCGCGCCGTTCCCTCCGGAGTTTCCGAGCTGCTGAGGAGTCTGGATTGTGTCTGTCCCCAGCGTCAGATGAAAAGGCGCTGAGGCTCTTGGCCGCTGCCCCGCGCCCCGCTCCGCGCACGCCCC